TCATTTGACATGTGAAAAGAAGAGACAGTTATTTGATATATGAAAAGAAGAGATAGTCATTTGATGTGTAAAAAGAAGAGACAGTTATTTGTCATATGAAAAGAAAAGACAGTTATTTGCTGTGTGAAAAGAAGAAATAGTTATTTGTCATGTGAAAAAAAGAGACAGTTATTTGATATGCGAAAAGAAAAGAAAATCATTTGACATGTGAAAAAAGAGATAGTCATTTGACTTGCAAAAAGAAGAGACAGTTATTTTATATACAAAAAGAAAAAACAATCATTTGATATACAAAAGAAAAAATAGTTATTTGATATATGAAAAGAAGAAACAGTCATTTGATGTATGAAAAGAAGAAACATTTATTTGACGTGTGAAAAAAAGATATAGTCATTTGACATGTGAAAAGAAGTATCAGTTATTTGATATGCGAAAAGAAGATTCAGTTATTTGATATATGAAAAGAAAAGTCAATCATTTGATATGCAAAAAAAAAGATAGTTATTTGACATGCAAAGAGAAGAGACAGTCATTTGATGTGCAAAAAAAAAAAATAGTTATTTGATATACAGAAAAAAGAGTTAGTCATATGATATATAGAAAGAAGAATTAGTCATTTGAAATGCAAAAAAAAGAATCAGTAATTTGACATATGAAAAGAAGAGTTAGTCATTTGATATGCAGAAAGAAGAGTTAATTATTTGATATGCAAAAAGAAGAGTTAGTCATTTGATATATAGAAATAGAAAAGTTAATCATTTGACATACAAAAAGAAGAGTTAGTTATTTGATATACGGAAAGAAGAGTCAGTTATTTGACATACAAAATAAGAGTTACTCTTTTAACATGTGAAAAAAAAGTTAGTTATTTGATATGCAAAAAGAAGAATCAGTTATTTAATATACAAAAAGAAAGTTAGTCATTTATTATACAGAAAGAAAAGTCAATCATTTGATGTGTAGAAAGAAAAGTCAGTCATTTGATATGTAAAAAAAGAGTTAGACATTAACATATAAGAAAAAAAGTCAGTTATTTAATATATGAAAAAAAAGAGTTAATCATTTAATATACAAAAAAAAAAGAGTCAATTATTTAATATATGAAAAAAAAAAGTTAGTCATTTGAAGTGTTAGTCATTTAACATACAAAAAAAAAGTTAGTTATTTGATACACAAAAAAAAGAATTAATCATTTAATATAAAAAAAAAGAATCAATTATTTAATACACAAAAAAAAGTCAGTCATTTGATATATAAAAAAATAAATCTGTTAATTGACACATTGAAAAAAGAATATACAGAAAAATAAGTTAATTATTTGATATGCAGAAAATGAGATAGTCTTTTAATATATAAAAAATAAGTTAGTCATTTGATATATAAAAAAATAAGTTAGTCATTTAATATGCAAAAAAAAAATAGTCATTTGATATATAAAAAAATAAGTTAGTCATTTGATATGCAAAAAAAATTGCTTATTTAACATACTAAAAAAAAATCTAAAAATTAAAATATTCTACTAAAATATTACTTAAATTTAAAAACTAAAAAATTTTTAAAAATTTAAAAATTAAAAAATTAAAATCAAACTCTGGAGCAATATATGAACCTGAGAACTAGAAACTAAAAAACTAATATTAAAAAAATTTAAAGATTAATTCATGATTCGCAAGTAATCGAAAGATCTGCAATAGTAGATAATTAGTGATTATCGGGGATATTTCAATATAAAAATTTTTTACTTACTAAGAATCTCAAACCGATCTTAGTTTATTATGTCAAAGCATCCTAAACTTGAAATAGAACTTGTATCTTTTGGTCAAATAGTACCTCAGTTACACTATAGTGTTTATTTTCGTTATTGGTGGACTATTAGAGAAGATTATAGCAATAAAGAAATATTATTATTTCCAATTCATGTTGGTTGGCAAACCGTTTTCACACAAAACAACAAAAAGTTTTATATGCATATTACTGAAGGAAATGAATATGATGAAAAACAACCAGGTTTTAGATATCATTCGGGTAGTAAATTTAGCGATATTAAAGAGACCTCGAGTGTAGCAATTACTAGCTTGTATAATCAACTTTTTTCAAACTCAAATACTAAATTTTCTGGACCATATGTTTTAGGTTGGGACAATAAGGATTTATTAGATGCTTCTCTTACTGGAATAGAGTTTTGACCATTTGCATTTAAAGTAGATAAATATCTAATTCAAGTAATTAATGTAGGAGTTAAAAATAATTCAGACTTAATGAGTGCTGGTATTGGATATATGTCATTATTTATAGGAGAATATAAAAAGAAACAGGCTTTATTTGTCTAAACAGTTGAATCAAATTATTCATGCCAAGTTGCTATATATCATTTAGTCAAGACCCAGTATTATTTCTAGATACAAATTTGAACAATGTATGGGAAAAAGTAGGACTTTTTAAAAAATTTTGTGGAACTCAACTTTTTGGATTAGAAAATTCGCTAACACAAAAAAAAATTGCTGCTCAAAAAATTCCTAAATGTACACCAAGTTTGTAAACCAATGAATTAATTATGAATAATATTTTCGATTATCATTTGAAAAAACAGACTATAGTAAATATAAACTGGTAACAATTATTTCAAACCTGGCTCAATCAACCAAGTACTATAATCGAATTAAAAAGGATATTACAACAATTATATCTATATAATCATACTTTTAATAAAAGAGAGCTGCATGCATAGTGCGCAATGCTAAAAGCAACAAGATGTGTCGAAATAACACCATATTCTAAAAATCAATCAGAGGTAAAATATTTACTTTAGTATTCATAATATTATTAGTAAATCGATTTTACTATTTTTGAAACTAAATTTACCTTAATTTTAGTATGAATTTTGGTCGCGAAGTCCTGATCTCTTAATTGACTGAAGTATTTTAGAACTTTTATATAAAAATAGCTTTTTAAATACAATTCCTACGAATGTATTTAATTCAAGTAATCAATTTTGGAAGTTCTTTCAAAATATGCTAGAAAAAAATAAAAAAGATCAAAAAATACGAGTTTTGTCAATAATTGCTAATGAATTTAGTCATAAAGAACTTCAAAAAAATCTTAATACAAGCATTAAAAATCTATTTTTGCAAATAATAAGATATATATGTTATATCTCAGATGTATTCTTGTGTTAAATAATATCTGAGTGTTAATCTGAGACACAATATATCTATGCATATATAAACATATATATACTTATCTTTATTATGTATTGCTTTTTGTAGATATTCTCTCAAACAATAACCAAAGCTAGGGCTTATTGCAATACAAACGGACCTGGGTGTGAAATGTTACAAAGACCAATAATTACACGCGTTAGAATTACTTCAGAAATAGAACAGCAATTTGAAAGATTTTTTGCAGACAAAAACATTATAAATATAAGCTCATATAAAGTTGATCTAAAAACCGGCCAACCTCTTAAATATCTGAAAGACTACAAAGAAACCTTGTGGCAAAAATATTTTGAATTATATCTGACTGGAATGAAATGGACAACTTTTATGGCACGCTTACAAGATGGTTCATATACATATCGTAACGATTTAGGTGGTTTATGCTATACTTGTAATCAATATGGCTATGGTGTTTTTGAAGAGTTAGAGAAGTTAATTAAAAACAAGATAGAAAATCAAAATAGTCAGGTAAGCAAATAATTTGATAAATGATAAAAA